AGCAACTTAGTGATTGCTGATGGAAGGTTTTATCTTCTAAAGTTTTAAAGCACAGTTTATACTTGTTTTTCCCTTCAAACTTTACATCCTGCACATGTTTTCCTTACTGGTTTTCTGTTACAAACTCAGTGAACTCAGAAAAGTCTTCTACAAAAAGTTTAAAAGGGTGGAGAGGTTTTGTGTTTTCCCAGAAAAGACAAAAACAAAACAAAGCACGTGTCTTGGCTTCAAGCCATTCACCGTCTTCTGAAATATGAGTAAACCTGCTTTCGGCATTATGATTGGCTAACCTGCACCATGCAAAGCCAATCAGGGATCTGACTAGCATTGTGTTGTAAGGGCAGCTGGGATGTAGGGGAAAGGTCTCAAAGCCCTGCCCCCAAGAAAGGAGAGGACAGCAGAAGTAAATGTTCTGTCACGTGAAATGAACATATTGTGTGCTTTTTTAGGAAATTGGGTCACTCTTTTGTCTCATTATATTAGCGCAAAAAAAAAAGGATTTATTTTCCATCCTGTTATTTTCTCTGTATAGTGCAGATTCCCAACTCTTTCCTGACATCATGTTGGATTTGAACACAGCTGAATTTATACGTGTTCTCTACAGACTGCAACGCTTAAGGGTAAACAATATATGTAAACACCAGAAATATGCTGAATTTACTACTTTGCATCAACTGGCAGCACCTAGAAATTTGCTGCTAGTGGAAATTTACCCCAAACCTGCCACCCTCTAAACTCAGCAAGGGAAAGACTTGTTTTTCTAGTTTGTTTCTTAAGTTAATAACAATGTGCAGACAAAGTACATTCAAGCCACAACAATCTGCGGTGCTGTGTGACTGTTAAATGACACAGCACTTCTGGGAAGACTGGCCTCTGGCTGTTCCACTGAAGGACTTTAATAACTGTCTCATGAGTGCACCAGTTTTCAGTTACTTCTCATTCCATCCTAAAACGAGCCCAAACAAAGCTGCTGTTGAGCTCCTGCCAAGGCATGAGCCAGACTGAAACATCAGAAGTTTTGGTGAAAGAAAGCACACCCAAAGAGCCTTTACTAGTGTTTCCTCTAGGTGTATTTCCTTTTAACACTCACAGTAACAACACAGCAGTGCCAGCTGTTTTAACAGCTTGCACAAATGTGTGAAGAGCAGCCCAAGCTCCTCCTGCAGCTAGAAACCTTTGGATCAATCATGCTTTTCACACTTTCATGATAGCTTTATGAATGCTGCAGTCTAAACTAAGTTTATCAATGAAAACTTGATGCTTTGCTGTCCATAGCTGGACAACTTTGATTATTCAATATTTTGGCAAGCACACTATTCTTAAAAGTTAGATGAGAAGATAGAAGCTGCCACTGGGCCTGCAATGCAAGCTTAAGCTGTATAAACAATGTTTGCATCTGCATATAGAACCTGTAGGCAAAAAGCAATATATTTTTTGGCACTTGAGTCCTCCAGTCTCCATTTATACTCCTAACACTGTGGAATTTCCCTTCAGTCTCACAACACTTGGCAAGCTCATAGCTTTTTATAGAATTTTATGGGTTAATAGTTGGGCTGTGAACAACGACTGGCACCCATATTATTTAGATCGTTACACCTTGGTCTAGATATGTACCTGTTAAAGCGGAAGTCCTAAAATGTTAGTTCCCCCCCCTCCCTTAAAGTCTAAGGTAGACAATAACAGATGAGGCTAACCAGCTATAGTACATCACTACCTGGCTGAGCTTCTACAGGGAAGCAAGTCGGTTGGAAGTGTAGGAAGTCAAAGAGTCACACAGCAGTGTTGTGATAAAAATAAAAGTTTTAAATGTTTCAATAAAAATCACCATGTTCAGTAAATGTAATGTTTTACCAAATCAGGTGCATTATAATATCGCAGTTAACAAAAGGATAAAACTCCTTGAGGAAATCTACAAATGGCATTATGGACAGATCCACCACATTTGCACAACTTACATCTGGGTACAGACCTCTACAAAGTGTACGATACAAAGATGACCCAGTGTGTCAAAACTCTGAAGACAAATGTTGCCATTTAAAAGTAGACACTTGATAAAACGACAGAATTAGTAACAATGAAGACTGGATAGTTGAAAGGCAGTTCAACATATTAACAGTACACTAACTAGTCAGATTTATTCAATTACAAATGCTGTCCAGTCTTAGCAGCGCTACTCTGCAGTGTCCATGTGCTTTAGTTCGTTTTAGTCACTGACAAAACAGGGAATGATATGACATGGGTTACAAAACAGTGTTACAAAAGCCAATCCCTGCTAAAGCTGAGGGGAAAGGCATACCCTGCCATGACCAGCTCACAACTACCACGGATCTAACACCTTGTCATGTTTTCCGTTGACCAGTCAACTTTAAGCCATTAAAAATGTGGGTTAAAAATCATCTCAGAGGGAGAAAGGGAGGGAAAAATATACAGTACTAGTTTAAAAGAAATTAGGGGGGGGGGAACAGTCGGAGTCAGTTGTGGATTTAGTAATCCACGGGTTCATCTCCTTCCTCGTTCAGCAGACAGGTGCGGATCAGGGCCTCGGTCACACTGTACGGGTCACAGTTGGCTGATGGGCGACGGTCTTCGAAGTAGCCCTTCTTCTCCTGACCAACGTTACGAGGAATGCGAATGCTGGCACCACGGTTGGCCACACCTGCAGAGAATTCGTGGATGTTTGATGTTTCGTGGCGGCCAGTGAGACGGCGGGCGTTGTCGAGCCCCCCTTTGGGGTCGTAGGCACGAATGTGGTAGCTGTGCCTCTTTGCGAGCCTCTCAATGGAATCCTCAATAGCTCTGAAAGCAGGAATGACAAGTGTCGCATCAGAAATGCAAAAATAACTTTTTAAAGAAATAAATTAAACTAGACGTGAACTTAAACAAGTCCATGAAGCTTTTGCCACTCACTTCAATCCACCGTCTTCCCTCATCTCTTTTGTGCTGAAGTTCGTATGGCAGCCAGCACCGTTCCAGTTTCCAGGGATTGGCTTGGGATCAAATGAGGCGACAACACCAAAATCCTCACAGACACGGTGCAGGATGAAGCGCGCTACCCACAAATGATCGCCCATGTCAATGCCTTCGCAAGGTCCGACCTGGAACTCCCACTGCACATGGAGAGACAGCTCAGCATTACAAGTGATACTTTTAACTGTCTCTTAAGAACCAGAAAAACCAGGTTTCAAATCCAAATTCATGTTTGGCTTCTTTAATTACCTGAGCAGGCATCACTTCAGCATTTGTGCCACAAATCTGGACTCCAGCGTACAAACAGGCTCTGTAATGGGCCTCAACTATGTCTCTGCCATAAGCTTTGTCAGCTCCAACACCACAGTAGTACGGCCCTGCAAACATTGAAAGTGTTACATTATCCAGGCAAGGATCCGTGTATCCGTGCACGTTAAGTCATTGAGGGAAAAAAAAAGAAAGAAAAAAAAGGTTTCTCACCCTGTGGTCCAGGAAAACCATTAGATGGCCAGCCAAATGGATGCCCGTCCGTTCCAAGGATGGTGTACTCCTGTTCCATGCCAAACCAAGGATGCTGATCCGCCACCATATCCATCATTTTATTACAGGTGATCCGAAGGTTGGTTTCTGCAGAGAGCAACATGGCAAATTACACACAATGTACACACTTTGGCCACTAACAATGCACATTTTTAGGGTCTCTGATCTGTAATTGTGAGCTTCTCTCATCTCAAATAAAATGAGTGTAAATCTACAGAACAATTCTTCAGTTATGTTTTATTTATTCCCATTCATTTGCCATAATCACCAATGCTGTATCTCTGGTATGTACACACCTCAAATTTTGGCTCATGAGACGTAATGAGTGGGTGGCATATTTTAACCATGACTGCAATAATCATTAAATTGATTAGAACTACTAATTGTGCTTTCATACCAAGAACCATTAGGTCAAAGCATATCTAATTTTATGTCATGTCACAACTTTATCAAAATAGTTGCTTAGCGACGCTGACAAACAGTTTGCTGGGCTCCTTTCCCCTCTTCCTCGGAGTTCTCCTTTAAAGGTATGCCCCGCCCATTTTACACCTTTAGACCAATCAAATCACCGACCGTCTGGCGTTAGCTTATCAGTTTTAATATTCAGCTATCAGATTTTCAAATTATTTTATAGTCATCATCTCGTTAAAGTGGTCACATTTATGATGCACTCTTACATGCACATCACCATCCATCACCCAAAATTGTTTTTTTTTTTAATTAAAGAAATTAATAAATAAAAACAGAAACAGAGGAGTTCCGTTTACCTGTAGGTTTACGGTTGTACTTCAGGACTTCACACAGCACCAGCTTGTTGGGGTCTTTGCGGAATGGATCGCGGAACATGGCTGCGGGGATCAGATACATGTCGCTGTTGGACCCTTCGGACTGGTAGGTACTGGATCCGTCAAAGTTCCATTCAGGAAGATCTACAAGAGGAGCAGAGCAGTGTGATAGCCTGCAGAACATCTCTGGCTTTCTGCGACTGCGTCAGGAAGATGCTGCTTACCTTCGATGCTTTTGGGCTCAGAATCAAGCGTCCTGGTTTTGCATCGGAGCCCCTCTCCGGTTCCGTCGATCCAGATGTACATGGCCTGGACTTTGTCCCCCTGAGGGAGCTCCATGTACTGCTGCTTGACAGCTTTACTCAAACTGGCGCTGGCGGACGTAGCCATCTTATTTGCTACTATAATACACCTGAGGATGAAGAGAGGGAGATGAGAGCAGGTATGAAACTGCGCTGCGCTCTGGATCACATGTTGCATAACCGGGTTCGGGGGCGCAAAAAAACCCCACACACACAAAAGCAGCCCCATTGTTTTGTTTTTTCTTCCAGAAAGGGGGGGGGTGAAAAAACACACCGAGGATGTGTTTTTTAAAAAAGGCACATTTCCAGCGTTTTCCTATTTTTTTTCTGCTTTGGCCACAAAAGAAAAGGCGACTTTATACCATCCGTGTTTACTGATAAGATTACATTTAACGCCGCAGATGCCACCTCACACCGTGGAAAACACAAGGAAACAAACGGCTTCCGCTAAACACACCTCATCCATCCACGCAGTAGCTGATCGCCGAAAACAGGTGAGGCAATGTTACATCATTTGCTTCCTGTTTCATACACATTACCTTCTGATCTACACCTAAATCCGACAAAAACACACCTAGGAAAAATAAACTGAAGCATCCATACAAAGCAATCAAAGAAAGGCAGAAGCTCGGGTTAAGAAAGAAGTTACTGCACAAAGTCTGGAACAATGGCAAGTCTCACGCAAAGAGCTGCCTGACCTGGAGGTAAACTAATACAAAGGTAGGAAAAATAAAGACAAATTACCTGGAGAAACGAGAAAATTGAAATAAAAACTAAAGGACTGGCAGGTCCAATGTGCTGTTGAATGATGTCTCACTAGTGGCTCTCTCATTCTCCGGTACAGAGATCCCGGATCCAGGAGAATTTATAAGAGCGGGATCTGGCCTTTGATTGGTCGGAGGGGGAGGACTGAAAGAAGAGCCGCAACGCCCTCTACCCGGAGCTGAGCCGCGTGTTACTATGCGTGAGTCTCCCCCTCGTGAGGGCATTCTCATCTTCGCGCTTAATCCGAAACTGAAGCGAGACAAAAAGAAAGAAGGAGCCTGACATGGAGGCTGGCAAACTCTTTGAAAACACGCTGCACTGACGGGCAAAATGTGCAGTTCAGATCCGCTCACACCGCCAGGTGCGTCTCCGGTCCAAGACGCCACCGAGTGGTGGAAATCAGTGTCATGAACGAACTGGTTTTAGTGGGAGGTTATGTAATCCCGCAACCAGACATCTGATGGTGCAGTGAGGTTTTCAAATGGATTTTCAAGTTTCTTCATGATACACTCATGTGCAGATGTATATCATGCGCCTCTTTACCAGTTGTTTTTATTAGTTTAGTTTTCATTCTACAGTTGGATAAAACAGCCACAGCTGGCAAAGCATCAGATAGAAGCTGTGTATTAAAAGCCCCTCTGGGCAGATTATTTTAAAAGATCTTAATGCCACAGTTACTGCAAATATTCTGACCTCCTGGCAGCCATGTCCCGAGGCTGTAGTTGCATACATTTTCATAGTCATCACACCATTCAGTGGTCCCTCGTCTCCTTTGAAAAGGAGGTATTGTCCAGACGGAGACTGCTCCCAACAGGATAGAAATGTTTCATCACAAGATAAAGGTGATCGCTCAGAGCAACCTTGTATTGATTTGCAGTGACCTTTCCCTCCAAGGGGGACGATCAGGACTGAACCAATGCATGCAAACTGCTTCCTGCAGCATAACAAAGCCACCTCACTGTAGGTGTTAACAGCCGGTGTTTCATTTTAATTTCTCACCCATCTGAATTTGCAGTGCCTTTGTCAGCAGTATTATGCAGAAACTACCAAAGAGGTAACCTGTTTACCTTTACATTCTCTTGAATTAGAAGATGAACGACTGGCCTTGGCGTGCCTTTCTAACTGAATGCATGTTTTGGCTCAGGAGGGAAGCTGCTAAAAACAAGCTCTTTGACGTGTAAATTCTCCTTCAAAGCACTTTTCACAAAAGATTTTTGCACATTTGGTGATTTCTGTGGTGGTCTACGTGATCAGTGGTGAGAAATCTAGTTGATTTTTGACATTTTAAGTCATTTTGATAGTGAAAATAATGGAAAAGTTGGGACATTTGCATCATGTCCAAATATCTAATAATATATCATATCAGTAAATGATTATATCAGCAAATCATCACATTCAAAGAAGTTGCAGACTTTTCTTTATCAAAATACTTTATTTTCTCTTGGCCACTATTTAAACAGCAAATAATTTCATCTTTAATTATTTTTTGAGGTGAATAATGTATCATTCAACGCTCTAATAAGATGCCAATCCTGTGATAGCAAAAGAGTCACCAACAATCAAAAAAATAACCATTCAAAAAGAAAAAACACACTAGAGAACTAAATCCTTGAGAGACCCTTCCGCCTCGTGGCATTAAGCTCACTTTGAACTTTTAAGTAAAGGTGGCGCTGTATGAATAGGTCAGCTGTTGTGGTTAATGTGGGTGAGCACAAGGATACTGTGTACAGCCAAAGAGCGCAAAAATTGTTATCAGGAAATTGATGTTTTGTCATCTGTTGTCCATCATTGTCCATCCCTTCTGCCTTTGTGCCCAGACCAGACTTTGTCCTGGCAGATGATGAAAGTTCTTATGAGAACTTCCTGAGAACCTGGGGCTGAAATACCAACCTGCACCACCTGGGACTGTGGACTGAGAGGAGGAAATGCCCCGCAGCTATTTCTGACACCAGAAATCCTGCTAACCTCTTGGGAACGTTGTGTCCCTTATCCAAAGGGTTGAATTGACCACATTAACCACCAGACATCTTTACCCTTTCCTACACCCTTCAGACTTTTGTTCTGGTTCAAAAGCGTCTAGCTCCTTAAACAAGAACAACAGTTTTCTTACATAACTACAATTTAAAATCTTCATCAGAAGCAGATCCTCTTGTTCTGCTCCATTTAGTTGGTGTACAGCACCACCTGCTGGAGCTTCAGAGGAGTGAAGATGATGAGTGAGACTGATGGAGGCTTCCTGAAGCCTGACTTACTCTGACTCTCCTGAGACCTGCAATGTTGAAGATTGCTGAACCTGACAAGAAGAAGTTCTCCTTACCTTTGCTCGACCAGAAGGTTGCTGGAAAACTTCGGTTTTCCTTTGGAATCTCTAAAGTTTCTGAAGCATCTTTGTGATTTTTATGAATACACCTGATGCACAAGTTGAAAATCATTAACGTTAGACTGATGAGAATATTTTACACAATCCCGTCTGCAACAAACAAAGTCATAGCAGAAACACCTGTGAATACTGTGAGATGGAAGCGAAAGCTCAGGAATATAATATTTTTGGTTTAAGTTTACTGTGTCAAAGGAAAAAAGCTTCATTCTGTATTTATTTAAAAGTCTCAGTTATTATTGTGGTTAAAAGACTTCTGCAAAACATTGGCACAGTGTGTTTGAAATACAAAGTCACAGCGTGAGTCCTCAGTTCTGAATCGAATTTTTCTTAATAGTATCAGCTCATTTTGGAAACTAGGTCAGAAGTACTCCAACAGTGCTGTAAAGCTTGCAGCCCATGTTCAGCAGATCTCAGCACCCAAACAGACAGAACACTTTGAGTTTTCACAGATTCATCGTTGTCACATTTGCCCGGAGGCACAATGCAAGCTGCTCCACCAGTCTGTTGTGAGTTTTCTGTGAACTCAGCTCTAATATTTAAAGAGGATAACCCTCATGAACAGAGACACATTATTCCCCATGTAGAATAAATTCAGTTTTACTTAACGAGAAAAGATTGATTAAAAATGGACCTTTGCTGTCACTAAAGCCTTTTTAGGGGATCAATTAACTGTAGACTGCTCAAAAAATGAAGAAACAGTTAATCATTACAGGATAACACAATTGAGACTGAGGCATATTAGTCTGTCCGGTTAGGAAGGATAACCCAGTGAATCCATCATCTCTCCTCTTCATCCCTCCTGATGGATTTTTCTCTAGTTCTCCTTTTTGCTACTGCCCTTGTTACTAGTGGTACAGGTAAACCAGCTCCTCCAGCATGGCACATTCATATGAGCAGACACAAGGTCTGCAGACTTCAAGCACACCTCAGGAGTGCAGAGGAGGAAGCAGGAGATGGCCCAGGCATCAGGAGAAGGGCATCGGACCAGCAGCAGGAACGATATGTGGACAGGAGGAGCAATGTCAGTGCATTACATAATAACATCCAGTGCCCTGAGGGTGGCAGGAGAGTATAACATCATTTAGAGGAAACTCTGGTCACACTACAGCAAAATGCAGCTCATTTGGCGGTTACCGGACAACACCATAATTAGCAGGTCCACCACCTTCACCCTGTTTTCCTCACAGATGAGAGCAAGTTCATGTGATTAAAAGGAGTCTGGAGCATGAGTCCCACATGAGTGATTCAGCAGAGGGTCAGCGATGGTCCGGGGTGGCATATCTTTGGAACGTCGCACAAAACTCCATGTGTTAGCCAACAGTATCCTGACTGCTTTTGGTGCAAGACAATGCCTGGCCCTGTGTGTGCAGAGAGTTCCTGGATGATGGAGGTACTGATGTCGCTGACTGGCCCTCAGGTCCCCCAGACCTGACTCCAACTCTGAGAACCTCTGGGTAGTATTTTAGTATCAGCAGAACCACAGACTATCCAGCAGGTCATCTCTGCCTTGAACCAGGTCTGTGAGGAGATCTCCCGGGAGCATGCCCACCCGGACATGTCAGGAGTGCATTACAGGTACATGGGGGCCACATTATAATGCATGTTGGATCATCTTGTGATCTAAAAACTTTACTTTGAGTTTTGAATCCAGCCCTCAAAGGGTTGATGATTTTAGACTCCAGTGGCTGCTGTTACATCATGTTGTTTTCAACACATTACACGATGTATATCAGTAAACAATAACCAGCTTTAATATTTCATTCATCAAGACTCAGTGTGTGATGTAAGAGCTTCCTTAATCCCTTGGAGAATGTATTTGGTGGTGTATATGACTTTTTAAAATAAATATTGAAAAAACAAGCCAGCTGCACTAAAATGGTGAGGGAGTGAGGATGATTAGATAAGAGGAGAGAAGAGGAATGTTTTTTATATAACCACAGGTCAGGAATGAGTATTTAGTAGTACTATATATGACACAGTTCATTTCCTCATTTTCCCAACTGGTTTTCTCGTACTGACTTATAGGATGTGATACAATACAACACAAGACAATATTACTTTATTACCTCCCAAAGGAGGAAAATCATTCTGCAACAGGCAATCCCAAAAAAACAGATAACAAAAACCACAAATTGGCTTCTTTTAGTAAATAGAAACCTCAGAATAAATAATCAGTAGATAATAATTTAATAGAAAAGAGCACTTTTTTTTAGTTAATAGATGTATTATTGGTGACCATTTTTCTCTTTTTGTCTGTTTTGGGGAAGGAGGTGGGGCTAAAACTTTAACTGTCTCTGCGTCATAACAGAAAGCAGATCTATAGAAAATCAAATATGGCATATGGTATAAATTATAAATTGAATAACAAAATTAGGCAGCTAATGCAATTTTTAGAAAACAGAACACAGATAGAATTTCAATTTCAATTCAATTTCAATTTTATTTATATAGCGCCAAATCACAACAAATGTCGCCTCAAGGCGCTTCAAAGCGCCTTGAGGCATAGAAGCTCTCCCCATATCCCCCTTGATCCTCAGAGCAAAGTGTGGATTTAAATAGAGCGCTATATGCTTAGTGGTATTATTTCTTGTGCCAAAGTTTTTGTTTTTAATGGTGAGATCATTTGTTTTTTTTAGAGTTTTAGTTATTTATTGGGAGGGGGGGCACAGAAGTCTCTCTTCTAATTTGTTTTAAGGGGAAAAAAATATGATGTATTCCATTATTTGAAAGTGTCTGTTTAACAC